TGAGCAGTTGGGGGGACTTTACTTCTTTCGAGGGGCAGTCACTGCGGCGGCTACTCGAGTGAAGACAATGTCCCCGGATTTGTGGCATCGACGAATGGGTCATCCTTCGTCCTCGGTTTTAGTTCAGTTTCCTTTTGTTAACTTTAGTGCTTCATTTTCCAATAAGGCCTGTGATATATGTTTTCGAGCTAAGCACTCTCGGGCTAGCTTTCCTGTTATTCGTAGTATTAACAGTGCTTGTTTTGATTTGATACATTGTGACTTGTGGGGTCCATATCGTGTTCCCACCTTTAGTGGAGCACGGTATTTTTTGACTATCGTCGATGATTTTTCTCGTGCCACATGGATTTATTTATTGAATGATAAAACTGCAGTTTCTAATACTTTGTTCGCTTTCTTTGCTTTGGTGAAAAGACAATTCGGTGCCTTAGTTAAGGTATTCCGTAGTGACAATGGTACTGAATTCACTTGTCTTCGGGATTATTTTCGTACCAAAGGTATTATACACGAGACCTCATGCGTCGGATCCCCTCAGCAAAATGGGCAAGTTGAACGTAAGCATCAACATATCCTTAATGTTGCTTGGGCCCTGCGTTTTCAAGCTCAGCTTCCTCTTGAATTCTAGGGTCACTGTGTGCTTACTGCAGGCTATTTGATAAATCGTACTCCAACTCATGTTCTGTCTGGTAAGACTCCTTATGAAATCTTATATAATCGGCCTCCGCCCTATGCTCATATTCGTGTCTTTGGATGTTTGTGCTACATTCATAATCAAAATCGTCATGAAGACAAGTTTGCGAGTCGGAGTCGAAAATGTATTTTCGTTGGTTACCCGACTGGTCAGAAAGGATGGTGTGTTTTTGACTTGGAGGTGAAGTCTTTCTTCGTTTCTCGTGACGTGGAGTTTTGTGAATCTGAGTTTCCTTATATGGAGTCATCTTCTCCTTCGACATCTCCGGTTCATATTGACACTTGGCCTGTTGTGACGGACGATGATGATGCGACCCCGGTTGTGTCAAGAAGACCTGCCCCGTCTAATTCTGGGAATTCTGCTAGTGAGGAGGATAGGGGGGTTCGGCTGTGTCAAGTGGACTTGCCCCGTCTAATTCTGGAAATTCTGCTAGTGATGAGGGCAGGGGGAGTACCACTGAAACCCCCCAGGCTGAGTTACTTGGTCGAGGTCATCGGGTCAAGCATTGCTCTTCTCGGCTCACTGATTACGTTTCTCATACTATTTGTCCCTCGATTCCCCCTGCCGACTCCTCGATTTCGTCATCATCCTCTGGTACTCTGTACCCTATTGCTCATTATGTTTCTTGTGATTCCTTCTCGCCGGGGCATAAGACATTCTTGGCAGCTATAACTTCCTCTACCGAACCTCAATCTTACTCAGAGGCAGTTCGGGATAGTCGTTGGCGTTCTACCATGCAGCTCGAGATCAAAGCATTGGAAGACAATCATACTTGGGATGTCGTGTCCCTTCCTGAAAGCAAACATGCTATTGGGTGAAAATGGATCTTCCGCATCAAGTATAACTCTGATGGAACAGTTGAGCGGTACAAAGCTCGATTGGTAGTTCTTGGTAACCGGCAAATTGAAGGGATTGACTATCAGGAGACCTTTGCTCCAGTTGCTAAGATGGTCACTGTTCGAACGTTTTTGGCCGTTGCAGCAGCACGACGCTGGGAAGTTCATCAGATGGATGTTCACAATGCCTTCTTGCACGGTGATCTAAACGAGGAGGTCTACATGAAACTTCCTCCCGGTTTTTCCTCTCCACGCTCTGGTGATGTCTGCAAACTCAGGCGTTCTCTCTATGGCTTGAAACAAGCTCCTCGGTGCTGGTTCGTCAAGCTTGGTACTGCTCTGAAGCAGTATGGTTTTCAACAGTCACTTTCGGATTATTCTTTATTTACTCTTCATCGGGACGGTCTGGATTTGCAGCTTCTAGTTTATGTTGATGACTTGATTATTTCCGGAAGTGACCCGGCCACTATTGCGACTTTTAAGGATTATTTGGGTCAGTGCTTTCATATGAAGGATCTCGGCGTTCTCAAATATTTTCTTGGTATTGAGGTAGCTCGAAATTCATCTGGCATATTTTTGTGTCAACAGAAATATGTGCTTGACATTGTGGCCGAGACTGGTCTATTGGGTGGAAAACCGGCAGATTTTCCAATGGAACAGAACCATCAGCTTCCTTTGGTGGATGGTCCTTTTTTTCTGACCCAGAGAAATACAGACGTTTGGTGGGCCGTCTGATTTACTTGGCGGTTACTCGTCCTGATCTCTCTTATGCGGTGCACATGCTTTCTCAGTTCATGCACCAGCCTCGTGAGGCTCACTGGGACGCTGCCCTGCGTGTGGTTCGTTATTTGAAGGGTACTCCGGGCCAAGGTATCCTTCTTCGGACTGATTGTGACTTACAACTTTATGGTTGGTGTGATTCCTATTGGGCAACTTGTCGTACTACTCGCCGGTCACTTACTGGTTGGTTTGTCCAACTGGGTAACTCTCCTCTCTCTTGGCGGACCAAGAAGCAGCATACTGTCGCTCGATCTTCCGCTGAGGCAGAATACCGTGCAATGGCTACGCTTACGTGTGAATTAAAGTGGTTGAAAGGTTTACTTAAAAGTCTTGGTGTTAATCATTCTCAGCCCATGCGTCTTCATTGTGATAGTCAAGCTGCTCTACACATTGCGGCAAATCCTGTTTTCCATGAGCGCACCAAGCACATTGAAGTTGATTGCCACTTTCTTCGGGATGCCCTTGTCCAGGGTCTCATCACTGCATCTCATGTCTCCACTCATTCGCAACTCGCCGATATATTTACAAAGGTCTTGGGCAAGCGCGAGTTTGATCACTTCCTTGGCAAGTTGGGCATTCGAAATCCTCACGTTCCAACTTGAGGGGGGGTGTTAGTATATTGGTGATATGGGATATTATACCCACAAGGCGGAACCGGTCTGTTGACCGGTCGAGGAGGTCATATTATGAGGAAGCCAAGGAAATCGAGCAGTTAACTAGTCGACCAAGCAGGGCTGTCGACCACACTATCCTTCGACCAGATACGCGATCGAGCAATTTATTCGACCTAAGCAGGTCTATTATTTCGGGGACTTAACATCACGCTGTTCGGCCTATTCATAGGCGCGTGAAGGAAGCCTCTGACAGAATCCCAGGAGAATATTTACCCCATGTGCAGGAGGACACGTGTCGAGAAAGCAGTGGCGGATAGCGATAACCACCTCTGACAGCCTACCCCATGTGCAGGTGGACACGCGGCCAAAGAGGATTGGTGCAGGCGATAGTGGCGACGGCCGCCTCTGACACACGCGTTTGGTGTGTACGGACGGGCAGCTAGGGCAGACAGCTCACCAAATCCGGGCAGCCCTAGGTCAGGTATCTCACTCCTATATAAAGGGGGTGAGCCTTTCTTCTTCAACACGATCATTCTATTACTCTTGAGAACTGATTGAATATACACTGACTTAAGCATCGGAGGCTCTTCACCGGAAAACCCCTCCGGTGTGAGAGTTCTTTGTAGGTACACGACGTTCAACCGGCAAGAAGGAAGGCGATTACTCAAGTTCCAGCCGGTCGAGGAGTTTTGTGTTACCAATTGGTATATTTGGTATATTTAGGATTGTATTTTTGATAGTATATTTTTCTAGTTTTAGGTATCTTGCTTGGCAAGTAATTCCTTGTAATTACCCTAGGCCTTGTTGTATATATATATGAGATAATAATATGAGGACACCACAATGGGGTGTACCATCTTTCTATATCTTTCAAATATTTCACGGTCTTGACATAAACAAATGCAGTTGAGCTTCCGCCGAGTAAACCTTGCGACTCCTTACTATAAGGCATCATCGGAATAAGCCGAGTTGCACGTCAGAGGATCGAACCATCAACTACAACTGTAAGAGCATCTCGAAAGCATAAATATTCTGTATAAATTTTGATAAATGTCAATTAACTAGAAAAAATGTGAACCACATAATTTTTAAGTTCACAACTTTAAGTCTAAAAAAAAAATATCTTTAATGCACAATATAATCAAATACAATATCATCCACTTGGCCAGAATAAAAAAATTATAAATCATAAAGAAAGTAAATTAAATAATTAGATAGATAGTAATAATATTTTCTTATGCTCTCTCGTTGGTTGATAAAATATGAAAGAGAAGGATGAAGCACATTATTTTCTACATTGTATACATTAATTTTTCAACTCATCACTACATTTATGGTCACATTTTGCATTGAAGGATAACAAATGGAGACGTTGCTAAATCTGTTAACGTGAAGTGTAATTTACTATAACTACATTTTGAGCATTGAAGATGGAAGTTCTACCATTGCCCAAATTAATCTGAAATTTTAAATTTTCATTTTAAAAACTACAATCACCACTAGGCATGTAAATGAGACGAGCCGAGCTCGAGCTCCAACCCTTAACGAGCCAAAAATTGAGATCGAGCTCAGCTCACTAAAGCTTTAATCTCGAGTAACGAGCTGATCTCGAGCTTTAACGAGCTTAACTATAACAAAATTATACAAAAAATTTCTTTTCGAGCCTAAGTCGAGACGAGCTCGTTAACCAAAACGAGTTTTAAATAAATTCAAGCTCGACTCGTTAAAGCCTCGTAACGAGTCGAGCTCGAGCTGAACCGAGCCAGACTCGATTCACTGCCCAAATTAATTCGAAATTTTCAATTAAAGAAACTACAATTGGCACGCACTTTTCACCATCCTAGTATTGGAATATTTTTTTATTAATAAATTAATAATGAGTAAAGAATCTTTTATAATAAAAGACGAACGTCCCATCATCTCCTCTCGAATCATGAGACACACACACACACACACACACACACACACACACACTATAATTCGCTACCTTTCCCCCTTTCAACCTCCCCAATCCCACAACCCAAATCGAAGGGAAGGAAATAAAAAACAAAAAACAAAATAAAATAAAATAAAATAGAAATGGCCGGCGGTGAGAAAAAGCCCCACGCCGTCATGGTCCCCTACCCTTACCAAGGCCACATTAACCCCTTCCTCCACCTCGCCGTCAAATTAGCCTCCCAGGGCTTCACCGTTACCTTCGTCAACACCGAGTCCGTCGACCGCCGCATTTCCCGCGCGCAGACGGCGTTGACGGGATCCGACATTTTCGCCGGCGCCCGGGCCTCGGGCCTCGACATCCGCTACGCCACCGTCTCCGACGGGTTCCCGATCGATTTCGACCGGTCCCTCAACCACGACCAGTTCGTGGAGGGCCTCATCCACGGGTTCTCCGACCACGTCGACGAGCTCGTGGCCCGGCTTGCGTTCGCCGATCCGCCGGCCAGCTGCCTCGTCGCCGACACGTTCTACGTCTGGGCGTCCGCCGTCGCCGGGAAACACAACCTGGTGAGCGTCTCGTTCTGGACGGAGCCGGCGCTGGTCCTGTCTCTGTATTACCACCTCGATCTCCTCCGCCAAAATGGGCATTTTGGGTCCAAAGGTAAATTCCCAATTTTGTAATTTATCCTTCAATTTCAATTAAAAATCTTTTTTCTTCAATTTTTATCATTGACATTAGGAATCTGGAACAAAAATGTTATTTCACCAGTTAAACGAGATGACGTAATAGATTACATACCTGGTGTTGGTGCTATCGAACCCGCTGACCTCACATCCTACCTCCGAGCCGACGACACGCAAACCGTAGTCCACCGCGTAATCTACAAGGCTTTCGATGACATCAAGAAAGCCGACATCATCATCTGCAACACAGTCCAAGAGCTCGAGCCCAACACGCTTTGGGCCCTTCACAAGAAGCAGCCCGTCTACGCAATTGGGCCCATCGTCTCGGGCTTCACGAGCCAGACCGTGGCCGCGAGCCTGTGGTCCGAGTCCGACTGCACCCACTGGCTCGACGGGAAACCAGATGGGTCCGTCTTGTACGTCTCGTTCGGAAGCCATGCCCACACCACTAGCAAGGAGGACATTTGGGAGATAGCCCACGGGCTTTTGGCGAGCGGGGTGAATTTCGTATGGGTTATCCGGCCAGACATTGTGGGCCCGGGCGAGACCAACTTTCTTCCACCCGAGTTCGAAAGTAGTGTTAAAGGGAAAGGTATGATCGTGCAGTGGTGTAGCCAGATTAAGGTGATTTCACATCGTGCTGTTGGAGGATTTTTGTCGCACTGTGGATGGAATTCGGTTCTGGAGAGCATATCGTGTAGGGTTCCTCTAATGTGTTTTCCTTTGTTCACCGACCAATTTACGAACCGTAAATTAGTCGTGAGCGATTGGAAGATCGGGATTAATCTTTGCGACGGGCCGTCGATCACCCGGGAGGAGGTCAAAGAAAAGGTCAACTATTTGATGAGTGACGAGACTTCAAAAGATTTGAGGAGTGCAATCAAGGAGGTGAGTAGGAAAATGGAAGGTGCATTGACAATTGATGGATCGTCCGAGAGTAATTTTAGGCTGTTAATTGGGGATCTAAAGGCCCAAATGGATAAGAAAGCTGGGCCGGCCTTTGAGATACAAGATCAGTCCAGGGATCTTGTTTGGGCTGCTACAGCTGTAAATTTGTGCGAGCAAACAATTTAATCATGTCCAATTATGAAATGTGGAGTAGGTTGTTGACTTGTTGCGTCTAGCTGACTGTACAACATTGCAGTTGTTCTCATTTCTATTTTTATTTTTAATTTTGTTTTCAATGGTTTTCTTGTGGAAGTTGAAATAGGGGCTACCTAGTATACTATGTTCCGTAAAACTAGCTGATAAGGTGGTTTATATCTTATAAGTAATTTTCGAGCTTATAAATCATAGTTGAAATGCTCGCTTATATAATAAAAGGGTTTGGTAAAATTAGTTGATAAACTAATTGAAATAAAAATTTCAACGAATTTATTTGAAAAGCTACCCAAAGAAACTTATCAAATAAATTCGAGCATTTTCAAAAAGCTCGTCCTACGAATAGAGCTTATTTGAATATAGGGAGTTTATAATCTAACCAAATAAGCTATAAACTAGTTTATTCGTCTACTAACATAACCTTATTATTTATATTGTGTAATAAGTTTCGAGGAGAAAATTGTTCAACTCTTTCAATAACCCCATTTAAATTCCCATACCTTCAAAAAAAACATTGGGGAAAAAGGTTGTTGCAGACCATCATGCTAAATATTATGGAATAATGCTACAATCCCGTGTGGGAATGGTTCCGTCAATCAATTAAAGCCATTAGATCTTTTAATTTTGATATGAATCCTTACATTTAGTTTTAAAAAAGTGATGTGGCAGTTTCCTATTGGAGGTTTATATGAAGAAACTATTCCCTCACCGGATTGTAGCATATTCAATATTATGATTACCATTTATACCAAGTCCATACTAACTTAAATTTTACAAAGCATGGTTGCACAATTTTCTCCATTTTAAGTAGTATGGAATTTTCTCTCTTTAAATAGTTACAAAAACTCAATTAGACAAGGTTAGAGTTGTTAAATGAAATGAGCTGCTCGTGAGTTTTACTCCATTTCGCTCGGCTTGTTAAGGTTTGAGATCGGCTTGTCTTAGTTGTAAATTTGTATCAATGGATGTACCAATTGTGAGAGATAACTCTGGGTGTGATCCAAATATAGTTTGACCAGGTTTTTGCATCAAGTTCCACCTGAGGTTCGATCATCTACTTACTTACAAAGCATCAAAAAGTGTCCCACTGTTTGTTATGTTTTTGTGCTATTTTATTGTGTTTTATGTGCTTGTGTCGAGTCATTTTTAGTTTCGTTTGAGTGTCAACCGGTCTATTTTATCGTATTTTATGTGTTTTTGCTTTCGTTATGTGCTTTTGTATTTTGTCGTATCTTCGCGTCTCTTTTGGTGTGTTGTTAGGTTCAATTTGCAAATTTTAGGAAGATGGGATTTTCGAGCCATTATCGATCCATCTGGACAATTTACGAACCACTCGAGTTGTTCCGGGCCAAAGACAAGATGCAAGGCTAAGCACTCGCGGCCAATGGCCATTCGCGCCCCGCGACAGCTAGCACAAGGCAGCCCCTTAGTCACGCACTCGCTGCGAGCTCGGCTTAGCAACCTGCGAAAGTGGCGCGCGCACAACATCTACACTCGCTGCCAATTGTAGCTCGCGACATGCAAAGACGACGTGCACACAAGTCCTTTGGCTGCAGCACTCGCCAGCGAAAACTCCTTCGCAAGCCGCGAGACGGGCGCGCGCACATCACCCCAACATCAGCACTCGCTAGCGAGCTCTCACTCGCGAGCTGCGAAACGCAAGCCCTACGCAAGCACTCGCTGGCGGACTTCCACTCGCGTGCCGCGAAGCCGCGCGCCAACAGCTCAATTCCCAAGCACTCGCAGGTGAAATGCAGTTGGCGACCCGCGAGATGCGCACCACAGCTTCTTAAGCCCAACTCGCCAGCGAACTCCCGCTCGCTACCCGCGAAAGCCCATTTCTGCACTACTCCATGCCCAAACTCGCTGCGAACTCCGTTTCGAGACCCGCGAACTGCAGAATTTCATTAAATATGTGTGTTTTTAGTGTGTGTTTGTGGTGTAGCTATAAATAGACATTTTGCTTTGTATTTTAGGGACAACCCTCATTTCCCAACTTTTAAGTTGGGAATTCCTCTCTATTTTCTCTTTTTCCTTTTCATGTTTTGGTTTGGAGCTTATGAATCAAGTTTTCCGGTGAATTTCCGGCGATATTGTTTCGAGTAAAGTTTCGAGCTTTTGACTCCGGTTTTCTTACCAAGTGCGTGTGAGAGTGGGTACTTAGCCTTAAGCCCCATTACTTCGTATATCGTTATTTGCTTTTTGTGAAAATTGATATTGTGCTTGTGTTGCTTGGAGGAAAAGATTGAATCTTTAGATCGTGAATACTTGACTAAGTGTGATTAGGAGTTGAATGCTTGCTCGTCTTGTGCTAGAGTTGGGTTTAGCTTCCTAGGGTTTTAGCTAGCATCACAGTGTTCGGTTATTTGCGTGTGATTGATCATGGAGACTCCGGCAAACCAAAATCTCTCTTTCCCCCTTGATTTCTCTCATCTTTTTGCGTGCTTTAATTGCTTTCAATGCCCTCAATTTCGTAGATTAGTTTAGCTTAAATCAATCTCTTTCAAGCGAGTAGAATGTGTAGGACCTTCTTTTCGGTTGTGTGACTTTGACAACTAGGTAGTGAACAAAGCTCCGAAGAGCCTTCCTTTGAGAACGACCTGAGTCGGGTAGCTCGGTTACCACATGCCCAAAAATTTACTCAACACCCACGTAGAAACTCTGACACTTATAATAACTTGTTGACTGATGATCTATTTCTGCATATGAAATGTTTATTTTTTAGTTAACTATCCCGTAAATGGAAAGAGATCCCTCAAATTTCGATCATTCTTAAGACAACCAAAAGATCCTCTATTTAAGTCACTCAGAGCAACGTGGTAGGTCGCGTTGTATTGCCACTTTATCTGATTGACTCGAGGTCGCATTCGACATCCCCAACCTAGCGAAGTGAATTGAGGTCAGCTATGTTTGGTAAACTAGTTGATAAGCTAGTTGATAGATGATAAGCTAGCTTATAGCTTATATTGGGTTTTCGAGCTTATAGCTTATAACTTATGACTTATAGCTAAGAAGCTAACTTGTATGATAAAAATTGTTTGTAAAATTAACTGATATGCTATTTGAAATAAAAATCTCAACTATCTTATTTGAAAAGCTACCTAAATAAGCTTA